TTTGTCCCTTCGTGGTTGTCTTGGGCCTCGACCCCGAACGAAATACTCCCGTCATTATCAATCCTGCGGCGAAGCTGAAAGTTGTGGAGCATTTGCGGCAGAGAAGCCCTGGCTGTCGAATTGTGGCGTTTGGGGACAGTCCGCTGGATATTCCCATGTTGCGGGGAGCGGAGTACGGCTACGCGCTGGTTGGCACGTCGAAGAGCTTCGCACCGGAATTGAAGCGCAGTTCTTGTGGACATCAGCAGCTTCTGGAGAGGAATGCTCGTCCTCGTGTGCGCAAGCTGGATCTCCTGTCAACATCCTCGAAGATGAAAACTGCGACGAATGCAGTCGCCTTGTCCTTTCTACCAGAAGCGACCATGGACGAAGTCCGGGACCTCGTGTTCCACTGTGGTATTGAAAACCGCGGTCCGGCGCGGTCGTCTCCCACTGTTAAGAATGGTCCGACGGTCCTCGTCCCAGGCGATCAGGAGTCTCGCGTTTTTCTTGCCAGCAGCACTGGTCCTCGTGCGACCGCGGCGAATAAAGACAGTCTAAGAGAAAAATTCGTTGAGCCTGCCATGCAGCGTTCCCGGACCGGAATTATATCGGCGAAGACGTGTGCGTCTTCTTCTAAAGCTTTGTTGAGTAAGACTGTCCGTAATTGTTCCACTTCCGGTCGTCCACCAGCTATGACCAGCCAAGATTTCGATTTCTTCGCGCTGTGTTTTGACGGGTCAGCCCTGCCTTCCAGCCAAATTCTAGCGACGAAGATGCGCGACGCGGCAAACGCCGGGCCGGCATTGGGCGCAGTCCACACCGAGGTCGGGAAATACTTGGCGCTGAAGATGCTGGATTGGTTTGGGGACGAGTTTTTGGGAATGTGCGATATCAAGCATGTGCAGGTACCACGTAAGGAAGTTTCTTTTTTGTCGCATTGTGTTTATACTAGTTCTTGGGACGACCACCACCAGCAGGCCTTGAGCCAGCGGAAATTTCCTCTCAGCGAGTGCAGTATCATGATCACCTGCAGCCTCCATGTAGGTCGACCTCCTGCAGTGGAAATAACAAACATTGAATCGTGCCCTTCAAAAACCTGAACATTTTCAAACAGGGGCATCTTTGTCCCGGTGGAGGTTTCCAACCGGACTTCTCCTTTGGTCAAAACAGCCGGATGTTGAAAAAAGCCAGCATTCTCGCCATCATGCGAGCCGGTAAGTACATGGCAGACGGGGTTTATGACATCCTTGGCAAGACGAACGCCGCGCGCATCGACTTCCCGCACAAAGCCGGCGATCTCTTGCCGGATAAGCACAGTGTCATCAGTGGGGCGGGCGTGTTTCTTTTGGTGGATCCGGTGGTGAACAGCGGGGCCACGATGGTGGAGTTCATCAAGACCATTGCCGCGGAGAAGGCGAAAAGTATCCCTGACAACTTCAACGCGACAAACCAACAAAACACGACCAGAGATGAAATCAGAATCCTGATGCTGACCGGCGTCGTGCAGGCGGCGATCTTGAACGAAAACAGCGAATTCAGGAAACAAATCAGGCAGATTCAGGAGGAAAGCGCCCGGTCTACCTCTGCGCGGTTGGTTGTAAAAGTGTATTTGTTCACCCTTCGCGTTTCGGAGAACCAGTACAAGGGGGTGGGTGGGACTGATACGGGGAACCGCCTGTTCAACACGGAGGTGTAAAGCAAAAATATTTGTATCTTGTATAAAGTATGTACTAGAAAAGTCAACATGTGATTTTGTTTTCGCGCATTCTTGTTCAGGATTTGGTTTGCGGAAACCGCCCTATCCTGTGGAGCAATTTCTACTTTTCTTTGAACAAATTTATACACAAGAGTTTCATGCTTTCACATACTAGAAGTACACCTAGGTACCATCGAAGTACAGTACGGTGTACTACTATGCATGTGAAGAAACTTGTTTTTCTTATTCTTTCAACCCCTAATTGTTTTTGTAAGATTCTCATTCGTATGAAAATAAATCAAAATGCAAAAATTGTGTCTGTTGCAGACCTCATTCTTGGCACTGCAACTACTGTTTCATTTAATAATTTCGAGCGATTTCAAGACCAAGGCAAGAAGAAGAAGAAGCTATTTTGAAACACGTCGTGCCTGTAGTAGTGTCTGCCACTGAATACAAATACATCCTTTATTCCCAATGTAGCAGTCGGCAGTCTTGAGAAGGTTTTTACCTGTGCCGTCGAAAGACCANTTTGTCCCTTCGTGGTTGTCTTGGGCCTCGACCCCGAACGAAATACTCCCGTCATTATCAATCCTGCGGCGAAGCTGAAAGTTGTGGAGCATTTGCGGCAGAGAAGCCCTGGCTGTCGAATTTTGGCGTTTGGGGACAGTCCGCTGGATATTCCCATGTTGCGGGGAGCGGACTACGGCTACGCGCTGGTTGGCACGTCGAAGAGCTTCGCAGCGGAATTGAAGCGCAGTTCTTGTGGACATCAGCAGCTTCTGGATGAGATGAGTGCTCGTTTTCGTGTGCGCAAGCTGGATCTCCTGTCAACATCCTCGAAGATGAAAACTGCGACGAATGCGGTGGCCTTGTCCTTATTTCTACCAGAAGCGACCATGGACGAAGTCCGGGACCTGGTGTTCCACTGTGGTATTGAAAACCGTGGTATGAACTGCAAATATGTCTGGGTCTGGGAGATTCCGAGATTTGTCATGCTAGTCTGGCATGACTCTAAACTCTGTATTGCGTGTCAACGAAGAGTTCCCCTTGTCTGTCATGCAAAAACGCAGTTTCTCATGCGGAGTACGCAACTCTGAACTACGGAAAAACTTGTCATGCTGGGGAGCGCATTACAGGGTGCTTAATATTCCCTTCCTTGCATCACAAATTTCCAGACCCAGACGTATTTGCATTGCATACGTGGTCCGGCGCCGTCACCTCCCAGCACGGTTAAGAATGGTCCGACGGTCCTCGTCCCAGGCGATCAAGAATCTCCATCTCGCGTTTTCTATCCAAGAAAAAAACGTTGTTAGTGTAAATTTGTGGTGCGCAACATGCAAGATGATTGCGTCTGTCATGCTTGGCGTGCGTCGTAGGGTCCATTAAAGGGCGTTTTCGCGTACTATTTGCGCTTGACAGGTTTTTGCTGTCATGCCAGACAAATTTGTAATGCTGTTCCTCCAAAAAAGTTACACCTACAATGTTTTTTTCTTGGATATTTTTCGTGCCAGCAGCACTGGTCCTCGTGCGACCGCGGCGAATAAAGACAGTCTAGGAGAAAAATTCGTTGAGCCTGCCATGCAGCGTTCCCGGACCGGAATTATATCGGCGAAGACGTGTGCATCTTCTTCTAAAGCTTTGTGGAGTAAGACTGTCCGTAATTGTTCCACTTCCGGTCGTGGTCCACCAGCTATGACGAGCCAAGATTTCGATTTCTTCGCGCTGTGTTTTGACGGGTCAACCCTGCCTTCCAGCCAAATTTTGGCGACGAAGATGCGCGACGCGGCAAACGCCGGGCCGGCCTTGGGCGCTATCCACACCGAGGTCGGGAAATACTTGGCGCTGAAGATGCTGGATTGTTTTGGGGACGAGTTTTTGGGAATGTGCGATATCAAGCATGTGCAGGTACGTAAGGAAGTTTCTTTTTTGTCGCATTGTGCATATAGTAGTTCTTGGGACGACCACCAGCAGGCCTTGAGCCAGTCGAAATTTCCTCTCACCGAATGCAGTACTATCATGATCACCTGCCTCCATGTAGGTCGACCTCGTCTTGCAGTACTGGAAACAAACATTTAAAAATCGCGCTCTTCAAGAAAAACCTTTACATCATTTTCAAACAGGGGCATCTTTGTCCCGGTGGAGGTTTCGAACCGGACTTCTCCTTTGGTCAAAACAGCCGGATGTTGAAAAAAGCCAGCATTCTCGCCATTATGCGAGCCGGTAAGTACATGGCAGACGGGGTTTATGACATCCTCGGCAAGATGAGCGCCGCGCGCATCGACTTCCCGCACCAAGCCGGCGATCTGTTGCCGGATAAGCACAATGTCATCAGTGGGGCGGGCGTGTTTCTTTTGGTGGATCCGGTGGTGAACAGCGGGGCGACGATGGTGGAATTCATCAAGACCATTGCCGCGGAGAAGGCGAAGGAGGTGATCGTGGAGGTGGAGAGAAACAAAAACAAAAACAAAAGTTCTACTTTCCCTGACAACTTCAACTCGACAAACCAACAAAACGAAAACACGAGGACTAGAAACGAAATCAGAATCCTGATGCTGACCGGCGTCGTGCAGGCGGCGACTTTGAACGAAAACAGCGAATTCAGGAAACAGATCAAGCAGATTCAGGAGGAAAACGCACGGTCTACTTCAGCGTGGTTGGTTGTAAAAGTGTATTTGTTCACCCTTCGCGTTTCGGAGAACCAGTACAATGGGGTGGGTGGGACTGATACGGGGAACCGCCTGTTCAACACGGAGGTGTAAAGCAAAAATATTTTTATCTTGTATATGTTGTACTAGAAAAGTCAACATTTGATTTTGTTTTCGCGCATTCTTGTTCAGGATTTGGTTTGCGGACACCGACCTATCCTGTGGAGCAATTTCTACTTTTCTTTGAGCAAATTTATACACAAGAGTTTCATGCTTTCACATACTAGAGGTACCATCGAAGTACAGTACGGTGTACTACTATGCATGTGAAGAAACTTGTTTTTCTTATTCTTTCAACCCCTAATTGTTTTTTGTAAGATTCTCATTCGTATAAAAATAAATCAAAATGCAAAAATTGTGTCTGTTGCAGACCTCATTCTTGGCACTGCAACTACTGTTTCATTTAATAATTTCGAGCGATTTCAAGACCAAGGCAAGAAGAAGAAGAAGCTATTTTGAAACACGTCGTGCCTGTAGTAGTGTCTGCCACTGAATACAAATACATCCTTTATTCCCAATGTAGCAGTCGGCAGTCTTGAGAAGGTTTTTACCTGTGCCGTCGAAAGACCAAAAACGCACTAGATACCAGCTTTCAAAGACGATTAACGTACGTAGAGTTACTTCGCTCTCCGTATTTTTAGGCCCACCACCCAGGGTTCTTCGCAAGTAGTGTTGCGCGCGGCCTTCTTTGTTCGAATCAAAAACGAATCACGTGCTCGTCAACGACGGTTCATCCTTCGGGAACTTCTTTGTTTTGTTTTGCTGTAGATTTCATCCTTTCTGAATCTGATCCACCTACTCTCAACAGATCTTGAGTTTCCGGAAAACGATCGCGGACTGCCTCCCGCGTTTTTTTTTTCCTTTCCTCGATTAACTTTTCCGATGCCCTGTTCTGTACACAGAAGATCTTGTGCAGCTTTCTTTTCTGGTCGTTCGGTATTGTTCTGTTCTTTGCTGCTTGGTCGAATTATAATTGTGCCTTGTTTTGTTCTTTATCTCTTTGAAAGCGTTTTCGACGTTTATCATTGCAGTGAAGCTGATCACTCATCATCGACGTGTTTGTTCGTGCCTTCTCAGGAGACAAACTACCATGTCAGCTCCGAGCAGACGAAGTGGCGCAGCCTCAGCCCAAGCAGGAGGCCGCTTCTTGGGAGATAGAAACCACAACTTCTCCCCGAGTGAACAGGTGCAGGGACGAGTAGGAACACCTTCACCGTGCGGCGTATCACGAGGGCAATCCTGGAGGAAGATGACATCACGGCCCCCGAAGATATTAAGCAGTGCAGACGAGGCTGCTGAAAAGCTTGATATTAATGTTACAAAACGCGATGCTGCTGGGGGCAACGACACTGAAAATCGGTTTTTTCCTTTTCCTTCTACAAGATGGTCAACATCTGCGACCGCTCGATCACGACCTCGTCTACGTTGTTCAGCACTGTGGGAGTCATCGGACACTTTCATACGTGTTTTCACGTACTAGCTGCGCATGACAAGTTTTTCCTGTAGTGCAAAACGAATTTGTCATGCTGCTCTTCCTACAAAGTTACACTTACTCTGTTTTTTTGCTGGATATGGAATTCATCAAGACCATTGCCGCGGAGAAGGCGAAGGAGGTGGTCGTGGAGGTGGAGAGAACCAAAAACAAAAACAAAAGTTCTTTCCCCAACAAATTCAACTCGACAAAGAACCAACAAAACACGACCAGAGACGAAATCAGAATCCTGATGCTGACCGGCGTCGTGCAGGCAGCGACTTTGAACGAAAGCAGCGAATTCAGGAAACAGATCAAGCAGATCCAGGAGGAAAGCGCCCGGTCTACTTCAGCGCGGTTGGTTGTAAAAGTGTATTTGTTCACCCTTCGGGTTTCGGAGAACCAGTACAAGGGGCGGGGTGGGACTGATACGGGGAACCGCCTGTTCAACACGGAGGTGTAAAGCAAAAATATTTTTGTCTTGTACTAACTCTAACTAGAAAAATCAACATGTTTTCGCGCATTCTTGTTCAGGCTTTGATGTGCGGAAACCGACGTATCCTGTGGAGCAATTTCTACTTCTCTTTGAACAAACGTATCTATACTTACACAAGAGATTAATTTTCATGCTTTCACATACTACAAGTACACCTAGGTACCATCGAAGTACAGTACGGTGCACTACTATGCATGTGAAGAAATAACTTGTTTTTCTTTCAACTCTTGTTTGTCTTTTGTAAGATTCTCATTCGTATAAAAATGAATCAAAATGCAAAGATTATGTCTGTTGCAGACCTCATTCTTGGCACTACAACTACTGTTTCATTTAATAATCTCGAGCGATTTCAAGACCAAGGCAAGAAGAAGAAGAAGAAGCTATTTTGAAACACGTCGTGCGTGTAGTAGTGCTAGTGTCTGCCACTGAATATTACAAATACATCCTTTATTCCCAACGTAGCAGTCGGCATTCTTGAGAAGGTTTTTACCTGTGCCGTCGAAAGAGGACCAAAAATGCACTACATACCAGCTTTCAAAGACGATTAACGTACTTAGGGTTACTTCCTCGCTATCCGTATTTTTAGGCCCACCACGCAGGGTTCTTCGCAAGTGTTGCGCGCGGCCTTTTTTGTTCGAATCAAAAACGAATCACGTGCTCGTCAACGACGGTTCATCCTTCGGGAACTTCTTTGTTTTGTTTTGCTGTAGATTTCATCCTTTCTGATGAATCTGATCTACCCACGTTCAACAGATCTCTAGTTTCCGGAAAACGATTGAGGAGCGCCTCCCGCGTTTTTTTTT